GCAAAAACAACTAAGGAGATTTGGGAAGTGATGAAGGAGAAGCCCAGGGCCTATGAACTGAAATGTGAACTAAATAATCTCAAGCAAGGGGAGAAGCCAGTCTCAGTTTACTTCTCCACTTTGATATCTTTATGGCATGAAATTGATCACTTAGAAACTAGTAAGTGGGAAAGTTAGAAGGATGCAAAAACCTATAGAAAACAGGTTGAGACCAATAGAGTTTTTGAATTCCTAGTTGGTCTGAATTCAGAGTATGATATTGTGAGACAACAACTACTCACTAGGGAGAGTGTGACCTTATCTTAGGCCTATTCTCTAGTGAATAGTGAAGAAAGTAGGAGAAAGGTTATGTTGTAGTTTCAGCCTATGGAATCAACTCTAGTAGCTGTGAAACAAAAATTTGGGGGTGACAAGGAAAGGGACATAAAGGAGGATAAGGAGTTTGTTTGTGACCATTGTAAGAAGCCGAAGCATACCAGGTACACTTGTTGGAAGTTATATCCACATTTAATTCCAGCAAAGCTCAGAAACAAAAAGGGGAATGCCAATGTGGCTATTACTACTGATGGTGCATCCTGATCCAACACAAGAGCTACATCCCTAGACACTTTAGCTGCTCTGACTCGATTAGAAAGTGAAGTTGGCACTTCAGCCCCCTCATCTCAGCCACCGGTTACATCTGCTACTCCTACTTAAGCATTTGTTCATTCAGGTACAAAAGGCATCAACATATCATGTTTTAGGCCCAAGTTACAGTGGATCTTGTTGGGTCATAGATTCAGGTGTATTTGACCACATGATAGGCTTATCTTCTCTGTTTACCACTTATTGCTTATCCTTTGGCAGAGGCGGAGTATCTATTGCTGATGGATCCCTTGTTCCCATCTTTGGGAAGGGAGACATTAGACTATCGGATGTCATATCATTGTCCTTAGTTTTGCATGTTTCTAAACTTAGTACTAATCTATTGTTAGTTAGTAGCATCACTAAAAATCAAAACCGTTCATTGACTTTTTTCCCTGATCGGTGTGTTTTTTAGGATCTGGAGACAATGAAGGTGATTGGGCTTAGTCGTGAGACAAATGGAATCTACCTGATTGGGAAGATAAAGAAGTTAGAAGGTCTTTTGTTTCTTAGTTTGTGAGTTAGACTATGCTTTGGCATAATCAGTTAGGTTATCTGTCTTTTAGGTCTCTAAGGAGTTTGTTTCCTAGTTTGTTTGAGTCAGTCCAAATGTCAAGTTTAAAATGTGAGAGTTGTGAACTTGCAAAGCATTGTAGAACAACCTATTCTTTGAGCAATAAAAGAAGTACTGTTCTTTTTGAAATTGTGCATACTAATGTTTGGGGACCATATCACATCATTGCTACGGGGGGATACCGATGCTTTTTGTTGTTTGTTGATGTCTATACTCGCTTCTCATGGGTTTATCTTATGCACTCTCGAGATGAGGTCCCTACCCTAACTTGGAATTTCCATCAGATGGTTTTGACCTAGTTTGGAGTCAAAATCAAAATTTTCATATCAGATAATGCCTATGAGTATTTTGCAAAACCTTTGGCCTCATATTTCCTGGACCATGGAGTTATTCATTAGAGATCTTCTCCCTGTACACCTCAAGAAAGTGGAGTTGCTAAGAGGAAGAATAGGCATATGTTGGAGGTAGCTAGAAGCATCATGCTAAACTCCAATGTTCCTATACGTTTCTAGGGGGATGCTATCTATACAACTGTGTATCTCATCAACTAGGTTCCTTTACGGGTCCTAGATATGAAAATTCCATTCAACCTTTTATATCCCGATAAGAACTTGTTCACTATTCCCCTTAAAACCTTTGGACATACTTGTTTTGTTCAGATTCTTGGGCCTCATTGTTCGAAGTTTGATCCTAAAGCTTCCAAATGCATCTTTCTTGGGTATGCACAAAATCAAAAGGGATATTATTGCTATGAACCTATTTCTGGGAAACGGTTTATTTCTATGGATGCCACCTTCTTTGAGGATGTTCCCTACTATCATAGAGTTTCTTCTCAGGGGGAGAGTAGTGAAATGGGTTCACCCACATCAGAAATTTCATTACTCATCCCAATCGCTGAAGGGGAGTGTAGTGAGGAGGGTTATCATAAGTGTAAGGGATTTGAGGGTGTTTCACAGGTGGTGGAGACAAGTTGATTTCGGTCCTCAATAGTCCAGGCCAACTTCAGTCTCCTCTGCGGCTCCAGATCCTAGTACCACAACTCCTTTGCATCCCACTACAGATGAGATACCTCCCATCTCTAAGCTTAATGAGATGCCTCCCTTTATTGAGCCTTCTCCTCCTTTGGATGATCTTGATATTCCAATTTGAGTCCGCAAAGGGAAGCGTCGTTGTACTTCATCTATAACACATTGTATTTCTCAATTTCTGACTTATGATCATTTTTCTCCTTCCTATAAGTCCTTTTTGGCATCTATTTCTGCTATTCCCATCACAGGACAGTGCAAGAAGCTTCGTCAATACCTGAGTGGAAAGATGCCATGAAAGTAGAAATGGATGTCCTTCTCAAAAACAATACATGGGGGTTAGTTGATAAACCAAAAGGGGAAGAATCCGGTTGGGTGTAGATGGGTGTTTACAATGAAACATAATGTTGATGGCTCTGTTGAAAGGTATAAGGCCAGATTAGTTGCAAAGGGGTTTACATATACTTGTGGCACAGACTACTTGGATACTTCTGCACCAATAGCCAAGATGAACATTATTAGAGTCTTATTGTCTATTGCAGCAAATTTCTCGTGGCCGTAGTTCCAAATGAATGTTAAAAATGCCTTACTCAATGGTAATTTGCAAGAGGATGTGTAACTCCTAGATTCTATAGTACATAAGCATGGAAGAAGGTTTGTTTGTTGAATAAAGCCTTATATGGACTGAAACAGTTTCCAGGAGCATGGTTTGATAGATTTAGACTAGCTCTTGGAAAATTTTGCTATGTCCAAGCCCAATCAGATCACACTCTTTTCATTAAGAAAACAAACTCCTTTTTGACTCTACTTGCTGTCTATATGGATGATATTATTGGTGACAAGGAGTGATACCCGTGAGATTAACTCTCTTAAGCAACTGCTTCACCAAGAATTTGAAGTCAAAGACTTGGGAGAACTACGTTATTTCTTGGGTATTAAAGTATCCCGGTCCAAACATGGGATTTTTGTCTCCCAAAAGAAGTATGCTCTTGATCTTCTAGAAGAAACTTGGAAGCTAAGTGTTAAACATGTTGACACACCCATTGAACAAAGCCACAAGATAAGGACCGAAGGTGGAAAGCCCCTTGAAGACAAGGTTGTGTTTCAACGTTTGGTTGGGAAATTGCTTTATATTTGCCTCACACGACCAAACATTTCTTATGCGGTCAGTGTAGTTAGCCTACCAGTATATGCATTTCCCCAGAACCACTCACTTTCTTGCAATTGAGAGGATTCGTGCTTACCTGAAGAGATGTCCAAGCAGAGGCATACTCTTTAGAAATAATGGTCACATGAAGATAGAAGTCTATATAGATGCTGATTGGGTTGGGTGTGTTGATGACAAGAGGTCTACTTCTGGGTATTGTGCCTTTGTAGGAGGGAATCTTGTCTCTTGGAGGAGCAAGAAACAAAATGTTATAGCTCATTCTAGTGCTGAAGCAGAATACAGATCTATGGCACATGGTGTGGCTCAAGTATAATGGTTGAGGTCCTTGTTTGAGGAATTGAGAATTGCTTATGATAAGCCCTTGATGTTGTATTGTGATAATCAGGCTGCTATTAGCAATCCGGTACGGCATGACAAAACTAAACATATTGAGGAGGATCGACACTTTATCAATGAGAGAGTTCCTCTCAAGAAGTGTGTCTTCCATATATTGCATCCAATATGCAGCTTGTTGATCTCTTCACCAAGGCAGTTACAAGGACCAAGTTGGAAACAGATTTATGCAAGTTGGGAATGATAAATATCTATTCCCAACTTAAGGGGGAGTGTAGAGATGTAGAGCAATAATCAGTGCTGTTATATTGCTGTCAGTTATTTTATTGTGGTCCCAACTGCTGCTGTTTTTTTTTTGATAAATGTCCCAACTGCTGCTGTTACTTGTTTGTTGCTTTATATTTGTTGTTAGGTTGCTGTTAGTGACGTTAGTTTTGTTAGTTATTTGCTTATGTAAGCAATAGGGGCATTAGTGTAATTGCTGCCTTATTTTTTGATGTTGATATAAATAGTTGAGTGGGGCAGCAACTCTGGTCAACCCACACTCTTTCTCTCATCTCTATCTTCTCTCTATTCTCTTCTTCTTCTTCTTCTTCTTCTTTTCTGTTACTTATTCTCATTAAATTCACATCAAGAATTGGACTGATTACAGTCCTGATTAGCCAACTAGCAGCAACTCCAAACCTTTGGTTTTATCTTGATTTTTGGGCAGATTTCTCTAGAAATTCCTTCTAGGCATGAAATCTGGCCATTATTTTCTCCAAAAGTCTTCCTCAAAACCAGGCGATCAATGCTAAACAGATCAGCAACTCTAAACCCCGTACACACTGCTGATCTTACTAGTGTATGGGTCTAGGCATAGAGAAGAATGGAAGAACTCTGCTCTAGTACCAACTTAGAAACCAGAACAGCAATTATTCTATTTATTTTGTGTTGAATCATGAAAGAAATAAGAAGAAATCAGATCTGTAGAGAGAGAGAGAGAGGTGAAACTGTGAGGCCTATTTATGGCCCCATTAGGTTTTATATTAAGTAAAAATATGCCCTTAGTAGGCAGTGGCTACAAAAGAAATAAAATAATGCCTTTTAAGCTTGCATTATTTACTGAAACTATGAAAATATCAACATAATTGTAATATCAAGTTGCTATTAATTTTTTCTTACAGAAGTCGGTTATCTTCATTAAATAAATATAAGAAATAATAGGAAAAATCAAGAAATCATGCTTTTATCTAATTTCTTCTTCATCCTTTTATGTTCATTTGGGTGTATGCAGTAATAACAGCTGCAAATGGTCTACAAGCTTGGAAAATCTTAGAAGATCTGACAAATCACATTGATCTTGTCTTAACTGAGGTAGTAATGCCTTGTTTATCTGGCATTGGTCTTCTCTGCAAGATTATGAGTCACAAGACTTGCAAGAATATTCCTGTGATTAGTAAGTACTTATCAGAGATATCATTTTTTTTTCATTTCTAATTTAAAAAATGGTTTCTGTTCTTTTTAATCTCTTCCAAAATCGATACTTTCAATAACAACCATTACTACTAGTACTACTGATGAGCTTTCCATGCAGTGATGTCATCTCATGATTCTATGGGCTTAGTCTTTAAGTGTTTATCAAAGGGTGCAGTTGACTTTTTAGTGAAGCCTATTCGAAAGAATGAGCTTAAAAATCTCTGGCAACATGTTTGGAGGAGATGTCACAGTGTGAGTTGCTATATTTATCTTCTTCAGTTATTTCTCTATATCATGAACCATTGATGGACATTTGATCATGGACAAATGCTGGTATTGGTGTAGAGGTGTGGATGGACATGTTTATCTATAAATTTATCTTATTGAGTAGCAGTACACTTTATCTTACATCTTTATGTCAAAATTTCAGTTAGTGAAACATTACCTACATTTCACAGATTTTACTTTTATCCTTTCTTCATCAATTACTATTTTGAGTCCAGAACTAATGTTAGCTTTTGCTCTTTTTTCTTGCATTAATATCTCATCTTTTCCTCAGTCTAGTGGTAGTGGCAGTGAGAGTGGTATACAGACTCAAAAATCTTTCAAGTCAAGGAGTGCTGAAGAATCTGATAACAACACTGGCAGCAACGATGAAGATGATAATGAGAGTATTGGCTTGAAAATTAGGGATGGAAGTGACAACGGGAGTGCCACGCAAGTATGTTGGACTACTGACTATTTTCTACATTGATGTTGGATATTGTTTGCATGCCTCAGTTTTAGCTGACCTTATCCATATCTTACAGATGGTTTGTGTACTATTCTTATAGGTAATTCATGGAATTTTTATCAATAGAAAACAACAAAAATATATAACAAGTATGTGGAAAGAGGAAAGAGCTTATATAGGCATACAGAGCTTTCATATTATTGAAAGCTAGAGTTATTAGATTTCAGAGATTGGGTCATATGTTTAGTTAATTTTTTTTATAGCCAACAGATAGCTGATTGCTTGCAATGATAAAAACATCTTGCTATCAAAAAATAATGAGTAGACAGCATTAGATAGAGATGAGTATTAGGGAATGGAAACTCACATGGATTTCAGCATATCCTCAGAGGGAAGGTGAATCATTCCGTACCAAGGTCTTCTTGGTACTGTGGTGTTGCATTTTCGTTTGAACTTTAGATACCACCGCATCAACTCCCTGTAAGTGTTTAAGGTTTAATTGCCCAGAAACCTTATTTGGTTGGAGTGATTTAATTAGAAACAGAAACGGTACATCTGTACATTGATTTTTATGTGGAGGAGTGATTGAATAATTGTGAAAGTTGATGATTCTTTGAATGGGCAGGTGTTCCTGCATAGGTTATCGTACATGCCATATGCTAACCATGGTTTTAAAAGTCACCAAAGTGATGAGCCAAAGCACCTCACCTTGATGCCTTTTGAACATAGAGAGAGGCTTACGCTCACCGCCTCATGCCTAATTTGGTGAGGTATATGCCTCATGCCCTCATCTAGACAACACTAAAATTCTGAAAAAAGAAAATATTGATATATGATGCTGTCTATTGTTCAATAAAACTCTATTTGGTTGGTTACAATTAAAAAAAGACAATTGAAATTAAAAAAAAAAACTGTCATAATAACCTTTTTAACCGAAAAATGTCTATTTGCTTTTCTCTTACTAAATATAATAATCCTAATGTGCCACTCTGTCTTAATCTCACATGTGAGAATATCATCTTCATTCATATGTTAACCCACCTTTCTTTAAATTAGAAAATATAAAATAAATAAAATAGAAATTATAAAAGTTTGCAAAATTTTCAAACTCTTTTTATCCACTCTCATTTACAAGGCATTTAGTTCCAATAAAAGTTGTATATGATGAAAAAATTATAAATTATTTTATATGGAATGATAGAGTAGAATATATGTAAATTTAGTAAAAACGTCATAAATGTAAAATAAAATATATGAATAATTAAAAAACACAAGATCTATATTAATGTGTATCAGTGTGTGTGTGTGTGTGTGTGTGATAAAGAAGTAAATAACTAAATATATAATTTGTCTATGAAAGAAATAAATTCTAACCTAAAATGTATAAAGATTAAAAATAAAGAAGTAAAATATATAAATATATGAATAAATTAAGTACAAAGATTATTTAATTTAGGTAGAGAAGCTTAGAAATTTAAAACAAAATACAATATAACTTTTCAATATTATAGGATTCTTATTAAAAAGATATGTAATAGAAAGGAATATATAAATTGTCTATCAAAGAAATGAATTGCACTCTAACATATAAAGAAATAAGTATATGTATTTAAATGAATTGTGTTTTGTATGTGTGTGCGTGAAAAAAAAGTTATGTAGAAATATTGGGCCGGATGGGGCTTAATTTAGGCAGTAGATTGTGGAAGAAGAAGAGAAGGGAAGAGAGAAAAGAAGAGTTCGAACCTATCTCCTCTAGCCCCCTTGATCTGTTTTATTAACTTAATTCTAAAATTAAGTACAATTACTTGGATGCCCTTAACAGGGCAGCCAGCACTAAAGAAATAATTAAAGAAAAAAAAACAATAACTAAGGCCCATTTGGCCCATTCTCACTACAAAGGGTATTCATGTAATTCCTCCAATGTTTCTAATCAGGTTTAATAAAAGTAATTGGGGCTGGAGATAGAGTACAGTTGACTCTTCTCTTTCTCTTTCTCTTTCTCTCTTCTCTTCTTCTCTTGCACTGATGCTCTTTCTTTTGGTGGTTTTCATTCATTAAACAAAGAATCTAGAGTTGGTTAGTTTTCCTCTTGGTATTAGAGTTAGAACAGTACAACTACTCTTTTTTCTTTTCTTTTTAATCCCATACACATTGTATATGGAGAACTGAATGGTTGATTGATTAAAGAAGATATTCAGCTCTGCTGGTAGAGGATTTCAGGAGAAAAGAGTCGATCGGATTACTATCCAAGACAGTTCTTGTAGTTTCTGCCCGAAACCCTAGCTAACTGGAGATTTTTGAATTAAGAGTCACAGAGGGGGTTCCAACCTGGTGCTCAAGGATTGAAAGGAGTTTTTTTTATCCTTATAGAGAGTGATCCAAGTAGAACAGGTTTCTAGAGGTCCTACAAGTAGAATAGGTTTCTCCCAGGTTATCGATTAAGGTGCAATCATTGTTAGGGTTCCTATTGAGGTCAGTATTTGTTGTTATCAATTTCAGTTCCCTTTATTTGCTATCTGAAAACTATTCCTTGAAGTTTGGAAGTAATGGAACACTCTGAAGTAGAGATCAAGCAAAGATCAAAGTTTGGATAGGTTCTGAAAACTTCCATACTCTGCTAGTTGTGACCATAGTGAAGCTTGATGGACCAATTATTTGGCCTAGTCATAGTCAGTGAGAGTGTAAGTTTGTACTAAAGTGAGGATATATCTCTAGCAGTAAGAAGGAGCCTAAGGAAGATGTTCCCTCCCACAAGAGATGGATGCAAGAAAACTATATTATCATTGGTTGGTTGGTGAACTCAATGTAGCCCTCATATCAACCAACATTACATGTGGGTAAATTTTGCAAAGGAGATTTGGGATAATGTTGCAAGGACGTACTCCCAAAAATTGAATGTGGCTAGGGCATATGAGTTGAAAAATGATGTAAATAATTAAGACAGGGAGAAAGACCCGTAGCGATTTATTATTCAATGTTGAAACCTCTGTGGCAAGTAGACTTGTTTATGGGCCGGGCCCGGCTGGAGTTTGTATATGTATCAACAAAATACACTCAGGCCCGAGCCCAACCAGAAATTTGAAAACAATTTTTTTTTTCATTTTTATTCCATAAAAAAGTGTTTTGTTTATATTAAAAACCTTCAAAACTCAAAAATAATAAACATCTCACTATTACTTGGAAAAAAAGAGAAGAAGAACAAAGAAAACATATTGTATATATATTTTTTATTAAATAAAATATATTTTTATTATTTAATATATAGTATCAAGTCGGGCTAGGGTCGGGCTTTTTTTAGAAAGCCCAAGCCCGGCCCGAAAAAAAAGTCAGGCCCGGTGCTTTAGGCCTAAGCCCGAGCCCGCATGCCTAAAATTATGACCAAGCCCGACTGCCCGTCAGGCTACCCAACCCATGAACAGGTATAGTGGTAAGAGATTGATTTAATGGAGAAAGTTGGTTGGGAGAGTACAAAAGATGTTGAAACATATAGAAAACTAGTGGAAAGAAATAGGGTGTTCGAATTTGTTACAGCACAGGGCTGAATTTAGAATATGATATTACTAGACAAAACATATTGGAAAAAAGATGATATATCCCTCACTCATGCTTATTCTATGGTGAGTAGTGAGAAAAGCAGAAGTCATGTTCATGTTTAGGGTGTAGTTCCAGTTAAACACTTTGCTAATGTGAAACCAAGGGAGCTGAGGAAAAAAATAAAAACAGATGTTAAATGTGAATATTGCAAAAAGCCAAAGCACACGAAGGATACTTGTTGGAAGTTACACCCACACCTTTTGCTGGCTCATCTTAGGAATCCTAATAATAGTAAGAAAGCTAGAAATGGAAAGATTGGGAATGCCAATGCAGCCATGGTTCTCGATAGTGGCAAGGGTTCTAATGAGGAGAAAACTACTATTGAGTAGTTGGCAACAGTAAAGGCAGAATTTGAGAAGCATGGGAGGATGATTAATCACCTTGAGAGCACATTTGCAATAGTTTCTAATCCTTTAGGCTGTGTTTGGTACAAATGCATGGGAGTGTAAATGAAAAAAAAAAGTGCAAATTCTCATTTAATTTTGTTTTGGATTCTCTTTCATGTCTTAATTTACTTCATTTCTAATGCAATCAAACAAAATAAGCTAAAATTTGAAACAAAAATAGGTCAGGATTTACACTCGAATCATTTACACTGCCATAGTTTTGCATCAGTGCAAATTTATTTTTATTGCAACCAAACACAGCTTTAGGAAATTCAACTTACACTATGTTTGCACATTTAGGTATATTCCAACCATGCAACTACCTCAGTTAATCGTAGAATCCCTTGGATTATAAATTCTGGAGCTTCAGATCTGTAGAGATTATGGGCCAAATGAGCCTTAGTTTCTTTGTTTTTCTTTAAGTTATGTTTATGACTTGTGTTAGTAGGTAGTGGGCCTTAGTTGTGGGCCTGTTTTCTTGTTTTTTGTTGTTGTCTTTAGTGATGGACACCCTACTACGGGCACTCATGTAATTGTCCTTATTTTTTACAACAAAAATAAAAGAGAACATTGGGGGCTGAAGAGAGGTTTAGAACAACTCTCTCTTCTTCTTCCTTTTCTTCCATCACTTCTTTCTTCAATTTCATTCTTTTCTCCTGTTTCTTTTTTTTTTAATTAAGAGTATTGCAGGTGTGATTTACAACTTGGTACAGACAAGGTTATCACCTTCTTTTCTTTTTTCTCTCCTTGCCTATACACTATATATGGAGAATTGATCAGCTGATTAGGGAGCAGCTTATGTAGTCCAGTTGGGAGGGTTTTTGGAGAGGTTTTGTGAAGTTTTTCATTCCTGGTTGAAGCCTAAGGCAGGTTCTTGGAGTTTTTTCCCGAAAACCGTAGACATCTAGAGAAAACTAGTTACAGGTCCTAGAGACACTTTGAAGCTAGCGCTTGGAGATCAAAGGGTAGCCTTTTGGTTTTCATTAAGGGTGATTTGAGTTGGGCGGAGTTCTAGAACCTCTGGTCGGAGCGGTTGAACTTTCTCCTCTTCTCTCCTTCGAGCGGGTCCTGTGGAACTCTAGATTTGGCTGTTTGAAGAGTAGTTTTTTGCTTGGTATAGCAATTCTTGTTCAGTTGAGACTTATTTTGGTCTTCATTTAACTCAATGGAGCAAACTGGAGGAGAAACCAAATATCCCATAGATTCTGGGTTTGGACATAGGGGCTTAATGGAGAATCTTTTTGGGGTAGTGACCACTGTGAAGCTGGACGGGACCAATTATTTAGCCTGGTCTCAGTCTATTAAGATACATGTGTGTAGTAGAGGGAAATAGGGTTATATCACCCAGAGCAAGAAGAAACTAGGGGAGGATGACCTACCTATGAGAGGTGGATGCAGGAGAATTACATAGTAGTTGGTTGGTTAGTGAATTCTAGGCAGCCACATATTAGCCAACATACTTTTGGATGGAAACTACAAAGGAGGTGTGGGACAATGTCACGGAGACCTATTTCTAAAAATTGAATGTTGCCCAGGCTTACAAATTAAAGAATGATGTTAATAATCTAAGATAGGGGGAGAAGCCCTTAGCTATTTACTTCTCCATGCTAAAATCTCTTTGGTAGGAGATTGATTTGATGGAGACTGTGGTTTGGGGGTGTACAATCTAAGATAAATAGGAAGCTAGTGGAAAGAAATCAGGTTTTTGAGTTCCTTATCAGACTCAACCCGGGGTATGACATTGAGACAGAATGTTTTGGTGAAGTATGAAGCGACTTTATCTCAGGCTTATGCTATGGTGAGTAGTGAGGAGAGCAAGAAAAGTTTAGTCTATAGAGCCACAGATGAATCACTATGCTAATGTCGGGATGAAGTCGAACGTCAGTATTGGGAAGAAAGATGTTGTTTATGAATACTATAAGAAGTCTAAACATATTAAAGACACCTGTTGGAAGCTACATCCAAAGCTTATACCTACCAGACTCGAGAATACAAACAATGGAAAAAGGAATGAGAATGTGAAAGGTGGAAATGCAAATGTAGCCATCTCCTCACAGAGTGAACAGAGGCATAGTGGTGAGACGTATGGACGAATGATTAGTCGCCTGGAGTCTACTGCTACAGTAGCTACTTCATTAGAGACAATTCCCTCTTCATTTGTCGTGTTCCATTTATTTTCTACTTACCAACTTTTATCTGGCTGAGATAAGATCACCCTTGTTAATGGCTCTCTTGTTCCTATCTCTGGCAAGGGAAACATCAAATCTTCAGACACCCTTACCTTATCCTCAGTTCTTCATGTTCCTGAATTAAACACTAATTTGCTTTTAGTTAGTAATTTGACAAAATCTTTGAATTGCAGTGTGACACTTTTCCCTTCTTATTGTGTTTTTTAGGACATAGACTCTTAGAAGGTGACTTGGAGTGGCCATGAGGTGAATGGGATATACCTGTTGGGCATGCCTGGACAAAGTCCAGTATCACCTCCGAGAGCAGCTTTTGGTTCAAATGTGTCAGAGTCAGTTAGTCGTATTATGTTATATCATTCTCGTTTGGGTCATATTTCTTTTTCTTTGTTGAGTCTTTTGTTTCCAGCTTTATTTAAAGAAACTTTGTCAAGTCTACATTGTAAGTCATGCGAGTTGTCAAAGCATTGTAGAAACTCTTATTCTGCAAGTAATAAAAGAACTACAGTTCCTTTTCATATTGTTCACTCTGACGTGTGGGGCCCATACCGTTTACCTTGCATGGGTGGTTATAAATATTGTTCTGTTTATTGATGATTTTTCTCGTTACACTTGACTTTATCTTATGTGTTCTTGTGCTAAAGTACCCAAATTTGTAAAAAAGATTCATGAATTTGTGCTTACCCAATTTGATACCCGCATCAAGATATTCCGATTAGATAATGCTAAGGAATATTTTGAGAAGGATCTTGTTTCATACTTTGAGAAGTTTAGGGTTATACATCAAAGTTCTTGTCCTCGTACTCCATAACAGAATGGGGTAGCATGGAGAAAGAATCGACATGTTGTTGAAGTAGCCAAGAGCATCCTTTTTGCTTCCCATGTTCTAGTGAGATTTTGGGGTGATGCAGTGATGACAACTTCCTACCTTGTCTTGTTTACATCTAGGCATTGTACTATGGTTGTTGGAATTAGAGAGAGGGTGGCAACTATGGAAGTTTGCCTACCCTTTATCTGAAGAGCAACTAGCTGATTTACTTACCAAGGGAATTCCTAAAGCTAAATTGCAGCAATATGCAAGCAAGCTAGGCATGATTGACATCTATGCTCAGTGTTATACTCATGGGCTTATTAATCTTTTTTTTGTAAGTTTATAAGTAGTCCTATTAAGGGTATTCATGTAATTCCCCCAATGTTTCTATTCAGGTTTAATAAAAGTGATTGGGGCTGGAGAGAGATTACGGTGGACTCTTTTTCTTAGGCCTGGCATTTGGGTTGGGTGGGTCGGGTTCGGGTTTGGTCAAGACACTTTGGGTTGATTTTGGGTCGGGTTGAATTTCGGGTTGGGTTGCCAAATGCTAGACCCTAACCCTAAATGTTCGGATTAAGGTTGACCCATGGGTCAATTTGGGTCATCCCAAAAAATAATTAAAATTTAAAAATAAAGAATAAATACATGAAATATGCCAAAATTAAAGGAATTAACCTTAAAATTCCAAATATAAAATGAAAAAGTGAGAACATTTAACAATTCAAAGAGTAAACAATAAAGAGTGAAGACTAAATAGTAAAAATTCAAAGAGTAAACAATAAAGATAAGTAAAAACGAACTCCCAAAGTCAAACAACACATGCTTCATTCACAGAAGCTTAGATACTCTGTTCCATCACTTGGTATTCTGCTTCTACACGAGACCTAGTCACAACTGTTTTTTACTTCTCCAAATAACTTATTTTATTGGTAACTGATCAACATTTTATTAATTTTGAAAAATGCTTACAATAGGTAAAGGGAGGTACCCTTTTACCCACTAATTCATTAAATCCCTCTCTATATTACATCATTCTCCCCCTTGTATATGTATTTACCAGAAACAATGACAAGCTACTAGTCCCCTATCTTGCTAATATGTCAGCCATCCCATTTACTGACCCATGCACCCAAGTGAATGTTGTTCTCAGCTCCCTTTCTATGTTTATTCCTTCTCTCATCAAGTGTCTATGTCTCCAAAGAACCAGAATGTCTTGGTTCAGGTAACCTATTACTTTTCCATAGTTACCTTCAACAATAAAAATTCTGAATCCCAGTGGCCTTCCTAAATCTAATCCTTGCATTATTGCCAGAAATTCAGCCTCTATGGAATTCCTTTGTTGTATGGCCCTAAGAATATTGATTTCTCTACTCCTCATGATCCTTAAATACTCCCCTTACTCTTGATACTCTTGATTTCCCAAACTAAATGATGCAGCATTCTGTGTGGACAGAACCTGCACCTGTAATTTTTTAATGTCCGGGCCTGAAATCAATATGATCTTAGGTTCTCCAACAAACCAGCAATGGTCCAGAAGATGAAACAGAGTTGTAGTAGATTTTCAATGTGAAAACTAGACAGTTCTAGGTTATTCCTTCTAGTCAATGGGCAGAAGAAAACAAGGGAAAATAACACATATTGTACATGTGTTTCAAACTGAATTAGCGAATGACCCCAGCCCTAAGGCCAATATATTACTAGGGCCAAATTATGTACAATTACAAAAAGGCCCTTCCAAGGGACCAAAGAATAAGCACATAAAGTACAAGAATCATAAGAGAAATACATACAAGAAAAAAAAAATGCAGTACAAGTGTGTAACTACTCTTCATTCTTCCTAGTGATGGCAGGAATGTCATGGTGTCCAACCACATGAGTATATGCTGATAAGCCTGATAATCACATCAATATAATGCAATACCTTACCAATTAAAAAATAAATAAAACTAGCACAGTTGAGAATATTGCTATCTCATTTTGCAGAGCTCCTGGACAAAGCAGGCAGTAGAAGTTGACAGTCCACCACCAATGTCACCATGGGATCAAGTAGCTGATCCTCCAGATAGCACTTGTGCCCAGGTTATCCATCCAAAGCCTGAAGAATATGGAAATGAGTGGCTGCCTGTAACTGCAACAATTGAATCCCAAAAAGAAGATGAACAACTTGGTATACTTTGGTTGTATTTATTGATCTGTGGCTTTATGTGCAAGTGGTTGTCATTGAATTGTACTATTCTTATATGAAATGTAATTTCATTCTTCAGATAGTATTGCAATGGGCAAGGACTTAGAGATTGGAGTACCTACAAATCCTGATTTACAACTTAAATATCCAAACGAGAAAGTTTCCACCAACCTAACGTGCACAAAGCTGGACAAATCATCTGAACCAAACCACAAGAATGACAGCAAACAATTAGATAAAGGAAAGCCGGAATTCAACACTGAGAAGCCAATTAACGAACTGAAGTTCCAAGCTCCTGATCTAGGTACGATAGCTAGTTGTAATGATAGTCAGGTGGAAATAGGAGAATCTGAGGCTCCAAATGACCTCTCCAAAATAACACAAATCAAAGATAAGAGGATCTCTGATGCTAAAGGATTACCATCACTAGAGTTGAGTCTAAAGAGGCTAAGAGGAGTTGGAGATGTTGGGACAACTGCCCATGATGATCGCAATGTTTTGAAACATTCAGATCTTTCAGCATTCTCAAGGTATGGAGAGAACCAGTTGACATGAAATTACTTAATTTCCATGTTGTAAGTGGAATCGTAAATAAACTTGCTATTTGTATGTTGCTCTGTAGGTATAACACTGCTTCTACTGCTAATCAGGCTCCCACTGGGAATATAGGAAGTTGTTCTGTTCCACCTGACAATAGTTCAGATGCAGTGAAAACAGGTTCAGTGTACAATATTCAATCTCAGTCAAATAGCCCTCCCAATCAGCAGTCCAATGGAAGTAGAAGCAACAATGATATGGGCTCAACCACAAAAAGCATCTTCACCAAGCCAAAAGCTGTTGTTGAAAAATTAGCATCCACATCAACAGCCAAATGTCTGCACCCCTCTGTCCTTCATCCCATGCAGAATGCATGCATATGTCCATCTCAGCAAGACATATCCAACAAGGCCGATAATGCAACTTGGGATGTTGAGCTACCTCAATCGAAAGGCTCAGTCCAGCAGGTTCAAGTCCAGCACCACCATCACCACTACCACCACCATCACCACCATGTCCACAATGTCAAGCAAAAGCAGCCAGTACCAGAGCATGATGATCTGTCATTAAATAATATGGCAGCAGATGCTCCACTGTGTGGGTCGTCCAATGTGTTTGGTGGTCCAACTGAAGGCAATGTTGGGAACTACAGCCTGAATGGAAATGCTTCAGGAAGCAACCATGGTAGCAATGGGCAGAATGGGAGCAGCACTGCTGTAAACACTTGTGTGATGAATGTGGAAAATGATAATAGGGTATCTGGAAAGAAAGGAGCTGGTGATAGTGTTGGTAGCGGGACTGGGAGTGGAGTGGATCAGAACCGCTTTGCACAAAGAGTTGCTGCCTTGACCAAATTCCGCCAGAAGAGGAAAGAAAGATGCTTTGAAAAGAAGGTAACCATCCTTGCAGATGCAAATTTACATTTATGACATGGCAACAACAAATCAATTCAGTTGTCTTATCCCCACTATATTGTGTAAACTACACAGATCCTGCTCTAAAGCATTGAATCCTCAAGTCATTTATTGCCTACTAATACTCACCAAGAGAGCAAACATCATATCTTAAAATGGTCACAGGATGAGTATAAGTCATAAGATGGAGGCATTACCAAACTATAAATGAAAAATAAGAAATAGTATCTTGAAATCTTTAGTTAGCAAGTTACCCTCTAAGTCATCTACACCATGTACTATGGCACAATATTCAGCTTCAGCACTAGATCTGGCCACAACAGACTGTCTTTTGCTTCTCCATGTCAGCAAGTTACCCTCAATAGAAGTACAATAACTTAGGAAGACCTATAATGATCGTGGATCCGGCCCAATTTGCATCAATGTAAATTTCAGTTTCCATGTATCCATGCTTAGAGAAGAGAATACCTCTTCCTAGATGTTTCTTCAAGTACCTGAGAACTAGACTTGTTCATGGGCTAGATTGGGCCAAGTTCAGGTTGGCCTTTGCCTCTTTTTAACAGAAAATGCCCAGGCCTGACCCTGAGCCCAGCTCTTAGATAAAGCTTGAAGCCCAATTTGGACATACGGAGTATGGGTGCAAGTTGGTCAGGCTGGGCAGGGTTTTAGCTCCTGGCCTAACCCTAAGAATTGGGCTTAAAGCCCGAGCCCGAGATCAACCCCGAACTATTCAGCCCGAGCCCAACCCACACTAAAATTTGATACACCCAAGTTGAGCTTGGATCCGATCCGGGCTTGGGTTGGTAAATTAGCCCCCACTAAAAATTGATATACATGTGTGTATATGCATGCATGTATGCATATATGTATAGTTTATTAAAAAAAGATATGCATATATGCATGTATGCATGTGTGAATGATTCGATTAACACTAGTTCAGTCCTTGGTCTGAGATAAGTAAGAAGAAGAAGAAGAAGAGAGGAGAAGAAGAAAAGGTTTGGTCTAAGAAGGAAGGAAAAGTCTCACCCTCTCAGCCGACCCACCTTATATTTATCTCTTTGTATTAGATTACAAAAGACAAATCTGTCCCTCATTAAATATGGGACACACAACTTAAACCTAGACAAAATAGACAACTCAACCTTAATTAAATAGACAAATGACCAAACTACCCTTGTACTGTCGATTCTAGCACTCCCCTCAAGCTGGAGAGTCTTTATCATATAGTCCCTGCTTGTTACACATGTAATCCACTCTTCCCCGACTCTACCCTTTTGTAAACAAATCTACCCACTAATTTCCTGAACTCATATGAATTGTATTTATCATTCCATTGATCACCTTTTCTCTTACAAAGTGGCAGTCAACTTCAATATGTTTTGTTCTTTCGTGAAATACTGGATTAGAAGATATGTGGACTACAGCTTGGTTATCACAGTACAACCTCATGGGTCTATCAACTGAGAACCCCATCTCCTACAAAAGATTTTTTAGCTACACTTTTTTTTTTTTTTGATCAATAACACTTTCATTAATTCATCAGTAGAAAATTTACAAGTGGAAGACAAACACACTTATCTTCCAAGAGTCACAAAGAACTTCAAGAAAGGAAAGAAGAAAATACAAAGATACAAGGACACTAACATTACAACTTAGCCCAAAACAAGGA